AAGAAATTGATGGTCAAGAGGTGTATGCGGTCCCGAATCTGGTTGTCAGACCGAGCGTAACTGTAGCTGCAGTTGAAGCTGCTGGGGAGACCATGTACGGTTCCTCAGTCTGATGCTATCTGTCGATTGGCATGGTGGTGTCGTGGGTGCTTTATTGTAGTACCGAATATGTTGTGATGTCTGGTGTGGGAGGTGTGCGAAGGAGAGGGCCGAGAACGTCGCTCAAAAGAATAGAGTGGTAGTGTAATGCTTTACTTATGTGACTGCCTGACGTTTGGCGGTGACTTAAGGATTTGTCTGGCCCTTGTTTATGTGGGTTGGCCTTTGGGCCATGCCCAGGCCCATTTGCTCCAGGCCAGCCAAGTCTCGTGACGTCGCCTACAGCAAGGAGAGCCTAGGAACGCTGCAAACAATTCCAAAGCAACTTGTATCTCGCGATTTTAGTAAGGAACTACGTTGATTTTCCGTAAAAGTACAATGCACCCCTCGACCATCGTCTCTGAAGTGTATTGTACAAAAATTTGAGCAGCTTAGCACATCATTGTCCAACTATCGGAAATTCGTTTTCGAACTTTATGCACTAAAAGCGGCAAGAGTGCACATACAAGTAAAGAAGATGGTCTGCGAGGAGGCGATATGGCTCGAAGTTTGCTGGAGTTAATGCTACTAGCAAAGCCTTAACTTAAAGCTTGCTAGTTCCCCGAAAGTAGATCGCTATGAGTTACGAAATGTCTAGTTGCGAAACGGGACAAGTAACTAAATGCCTAAAATTTATGTTAAGTTAAGTGAAGTCTGGTAAAATGAAGTCGAACCGATAGCCCAAACCAAATTACACCAGAGCAGATCAGATTAACTAAGAACAGAACGATATCAACGACCTGATAAATGGAATCGGAGGTGGTCTGCAAATATCAGATGAGTAAAATATCGACAAAAACACCAACAAATTTGACTTTACTACTTTGCTGTTAGGTATAAAAACGGATATCAAGACCTTTTTCTTGAATTAATTGCTAAAGACGCTTTTATGTATTTTGTTTTAACGAATGAGAGTCTGTGTTTACACTGCTCTAGTTTCAGTTGTGAGGGACAATGGTGAAGATTTTCGTAGGCAACCTCAATCCAAGCTCCAAATCACAGGATTTGAGGAAGCGTTTTGAACTCTACGGAAAGGTTACTGAATGTGATATTGTGAATAATTATGCGTTTGTGGTATGGTCCTATCTGTTCTTCTTAACGTCTTAGCATATGGAAAGTCAGGCTGATGCTGAAGCAGCCATTTCTAAGCTTCACAATTCCGAGTTTGATGGTGCAAAAATAAACGTTGAGTTGAGTCATGGTAAAGGCAGCGGTGGTGGTCCTATGCGACGCCGTTATAATACTCGCGGTCCCCGTCGTGATTTTCGAGATGAGCGTTTTAGTGGACCTCCCAGAGGTCCATTCGGTCGCGAAAGTCCTCGTGGCATGGGAGGCCCCGGTGGCTACGCGCCGATGCGAGACAGTCGCTATGACGGTCCACCGGCCTGGGGAGGCGATGGTTACGGCCCTTATCCTCCGCGCGGTCCCTCTAGAAGCTATGATAGCTATAGTAGCGGCCCTCAAGGACGCTATAGTAGTCGTGATTACGATAGGAATCTGCGTTCTGGTTCAAGGGATGGTATTTATGGTAGTGGTTATCAGAGTTCGGCACCAGAGCCTGTTCCGCCTCCTCGAGACCTCCCAAGGAAGCCTTCTCCACCTCGTAGTCGCTTCGACAGTTACGGAAGCAACTATAGCGATTACGGCCGGTATCGTGATCATGGACAGCCATCAAGCGGTCCTCCGCCGCCACCTGCACCAAGATCTGGTGACTACTACGACAACTACGGCAGTTATGGGGCTCCTTCGAGCTACGACTATCCGTAGGTGTCTATATTTCGTCCTTATGCTCTTTCTTTTCACTCAGTCCTCGCGATTATCATGAGAGCGATCGTGGTGGGAGCTACAGCTCGTCTTCGTATGATTATGGATATTATGGAAGCCGCGGGAATCGTTCACCACCACGGAGCGGTCCGCAATATGGTTATGGGCGAAACTAAAGGTGAGATTGGGCGCGTATCTGGGAGTCTGAGTTTTTTTCCTTATCGGCTGAGTGAAGTCGTGTTGTCGGGATGCATGAATCTGAGCAGATTTATGCCCATCTTTGCACCGTTTATGTCGTCGTAACTCGGACGTGACGGTCTTGTGGTTCGGTTACGTACAATTGTATCGTATGCACAGGCTGATACCCATTGACTTCGGTGAAGTCGGGATGTTAAGATATAGACATTTGAGTACTTGCAGGGTGGTCGTTTTTGTGGGGTCGCTGAGGGGCGGATATTTTGTCACTTTTGTAAATTTCGTCATTTCGTTTGATATTTCAGCTCGAGCAGTGGCAGCCGAATGCAAGCCTGCACGCACTTGTATATGCATCGTCGTTAAGTGAATGTCGTGACTGTGCGCGTGCGTGCGCCCGTTGAAAATTTGAACGTCACTCACTTCTGCTCATCTCATTTTACTTCTCACCTTCGGCCGTTGGGTTGCGCGTTCCTTTTGTGCACAATAAAATAATCCGCGGTTACACTGCCGCCTTTCACCCTTGATTCGTTTCGTTTGTCCTTGCAGATCTCTCACGCAAATTGAGTGGTGTGATCAACTTCGTACCTGTTTTCCACGCGAACGTTCTTAGGCAGCGGTTACTTAACCGTTTATCGGTGGTACAATGACGTTAACTAATTGGTCAGCAAACTTCATTTGTGTCGTGTCACTAGCAACAGTCCTCACGTCCTGTTACCCATTACTGATACCATTTGCCAGTCCGCTTGTGCCGGTGGACGAGGTTCGGCGTTGTCTTGGTATTTGCACTGTGGTTCGTTGCGGTCGGTCTAGGCGTATTTGGGTGGATGTGATGGTTTTTCTGCCCTTTCGTTTTATGATCTATTCATTCATCACGAAATAAATGCCTTTCCTTGCAACGCGTGCTGCTTGTACCTAAGATGGTGGGTATCTCGAAGCGTCTCTTGCGGGTCGTTCCGTTACTGCTTGTTCACAGTGTCATCGCCTGTTCTGCAGATGGGAGTGGACATTGGACCGGGAGTTGACACTTAATGTGTGCTGAGGCTCAAAGCTCTAGTGACTGGGTGTGGTAAATAGTCTCCAGGGTTGCGCTTGGTGACTGCTTTATCTACGTGTTCTACGGCTGAATAGCCGAGAGTTGGATACTTGTCAGTGGTGCGGTGCTCTTCTTGGCCGATTCACGATCTAATTTCTCTTGGTGGCTGCAGCTCGACTGCGAGGTGGTCAAAGTCGTGATTATCGCTTCTGCGCATGGTTTTAAAGGCCATCCGGATATTCGAGATCGAAGTGATTCACCGCAGGTAAACCTTGGAAACTCTTGAATAGTCGGGGTAACGTGGTCCATATTGTGGTGTCTGGGGGTTCTGACACTTTCCACCGGATTTGCACTAACATTGGTGCTCTATATTTATCAGCTTTCCTTGATAAGTCCGTCTCAAGTGTTGTAATCTGTAGTAAACCTAGTGGATAACCTTGGCTATTTGCCTTCGGGAATTTGGGTGTTTGTAAATTTCAAAGTACAATGAGCGCTCCGATTGGCACTGTCAGGTGTGTCGTTCGTGAAGCGGACCGCGGGGACGCTCACCTTGTGTTCAGGTCTTGGTGTTCTAATATTTTACCGCAATTTTGCAGGTGAGGCGTTTGTGGGACCGGTGATGTGCCGCGGGAATGTTTGGCTCTTAATCGCAGAGTTATTTTGCTATCGGATTAAGGAGTAGATTTCTTGAGCTGTGCTTGAGAGCCTTCAATGTTTCGTACAGCACTTTATGATTAGGTACAGCTTATTTGGGATTGCTTCCTTATGGAATCCTCGATCACATGTAGGCTGTACTGCTATCGGTTCGGTCGTGTTTTTATGCCGTCTGGGATTGCGTGTGTAACCTAAATAGGTTTAATTTCCAGCACCAGACGTCTGCTCATATCTCATTGTTGCCAGTCTACTTTTCAAAAGGGATTACTTCGGTTCTGTTGCATGCTAAAGTTGGATTTTCCACAATTCCTGAAGGTAGGTATGATAAAACTGGTAGGTGTCGATCTATTGGCTGAGCCACAAGTGGTCAAAAATTCTCTTTTGGAATCTGGGTTCAAGACTTCGCAGGGCAGGTATTCTGTCCCTGTTGTTCATTGGCTTGCGGAAATGCATGGCTCTGATTGGTTCATGTCAGATATTCTCTAAGCTCGCCTCTAACATCCCTTCATTTGCAACGCTTTGTGCGGGAGCAGTGTGTTGCCGTCATTCCAGCTTGTTGGTAACGAAAGTATATCGTTGTTCTGAGCATAGGTTGTTTTGAGCTCCCAACGTGTGTTGAATCTAGATTTCAATCTCCAGGTATCTTTTCCCCATTTTTAACGGTTAAGTGTCACTCGGGGAACTTTATGCTTGAGAACATGCATTTGTTGTAAGCTCTGCGTTGGCTATTTATTTCGGGTTGTGGCGACTACGCCCATCTCCAATTTCATGCCAGCGATCGAAGGCGTTATTGCAGCGATGAATAAAATCACACATACACTGCTTCCACACTGAACTGGGAGGTATTGCGTCTGCAACGTAAAAATCAAATTTTAATACAGTGATGAGAATCCTCCTTTTTGCAAATTTTCACTTCATAGTTCTTATTTTAGGCTGCTATTTCGACAAATGACTGCCAAGGATTGCGGTTTTGCTGTAAAACCGTATTTCTCAACGGAAAATACAACAGTTGGGCTGCATTTGAACCCTGGATCAGAACCTCTTCCATGTGCGATGCTCTTGCTATGACTAAGAATGCTGAAGATATTGCTCAAAGGTAGAAGCAGACCATTGGTCTTTGCCAGCTCACTGCTCTGCCCTGAATATTGGCGCTATTCAGGATACAGCTCTTCCGTCTTAGAGACCATGGTCCAAGTCCATCGTTCTGATTGCTAAATGGGCGTTCTACGACAGTATTCGTCGTTGAATTTCACTATATCTTTCTTTTTACGGACTGTCATGATTACTAACAAATCCTAATCTTAGTATCTGTGAACACGATCTCGTTCCCAGTGCTTGTTCCAAAGTCTAATCCATGTTGGCTCACTCGTGTGGCTCGACATGCAAAATTGTATAACATTGGCCAGGATCCTGCGCACTTTTTCGATCCAATTCACAATTTTAAAGCGCATATGAGTTTATTGAACCTCAATCCCCTCCTTCCGACGGATTTTTGTGTTTGCCGTAATAAGCATTGGCTTCGGACAGCCCTCATGGTCGATGCATCTTCAGTAGCACTTGCCTGAACAGCAACCAAGCCGTGGACTTCATTGGATTATTCGTTGCAATCATCATTTACCTCGGATCTTGGTCCACAACTGCATTGTTACCAGATCAACGATGATGCTGTGATTGGATTGGATTGCTTTACGCTGTGCAATCAATGGAGCATATTTGTCGTTCTGTGCTTCAATTGGCAATTGATGCTACGCATCTCCTCTGTGACGAAATGCTAATTGCACTTTCGACAACTTGTGAATCGGGTCCAAACCCATGCGCATTCAGCCAGCTGAAGCTGCCCCCTCATAATACGCTTAATCAGTTCTCAGAAATCAATATTGACCTCTTGAATCCTCCATTTGAACCCGTTCGACCTCCATTACAGTCAGGTCATGACGGCCCATGTAATGTCAGAACAGCGGGACTGGTACGAAAGATAAATTCATCTTCCCTTATGCTCTTCATGTCTTTCATCATCAGCTCACTCAAAGTTCTTCGTGTATCCCCTCGAACACAACCCTCTTCCACTGAGGTAGATACTGCTGGACGAAAAAATTGGATTTACGATCCGTGTCTTGGATTTTTTCCTCCATTACTGCAGTGGGTCATCGACGTATGCGTCGTTACAACCCCTTCAACAAACATGCGAATTAGGCAGGGCCTCGGGCCTGCCTCGCCCTGTGACTTCGACTACGACTGACTCAGGCACGGCCGGACTGTTGAAGTACTTACTCAGCCCAGATTCGAGCCATACAAATCTGATTGCCCTGTTGCTGTTACGTTCCATTTTACATGCTACAGTACTCGGCTTGGCGTGAAGTGATTGCTCTATGCCAAAATGTGAGTACCAGATTCCACTTCTTACCCTGTCCTCTTCTGTCTGGTGCTGCTCTGAACCGAAAAATCTCAAATGGAGTCGAGAAGTGGACAATTTTGACTGCCTTTGAGGCTCATCTCTGCTGTTCTTGATACCTTCATTGTCACTGCCGTGTGATGGACGGTTCAACATAAATGGTCCTCGAAATGGTATGTTTTTTTCTGTTTCAAATTAGAACAACCCTTTTGTGTACTGCCGTGAGCTACCTCCTTCCATCCCCATTATCAAATCCGTTAGATGATTCGAGGGCCTGAATGTGACTTTTTATGATATTTGTCTCTTTAATTACAGCTTCAAAGCTGCGAAGTTTTAGTCTCCATCATTCATGCCTAAACTCAGTTACTGTTGCAAGTAACTGTCTTGCTGTTTGGTATCTGAACGACGTTTTGGCATTTCCATAAGATCTGTTAATTTAGCGATGTGACAGGTCGACATTTGGGATGTTTCAAATCTCACCGACACCTACTGTCAGGGTGTAAAACTTCATTTATCAATACAACGCTTCGTGAGATAATTGTCGTCTCTGGACTGAATGTTTTTGTCAGTAAAAAAGTGACAGAAACTCCGAGAGTTTATGCTGAGGGCTGAAGTTCCTACAATTTGTCCTTCGAAATTAATTGGAGAGTCGATCTTGTCGCTTGGTGCCACCTATAGTTATGGTAGAGTCTAGTGGTGCCAAGATGCAATGTAACTTGGACTTAGAAAGCCTTATCTATACTGAGGGGCTATGTACGTCTGGTTGGAGACCACTATGTAGTAGCATTGCCATGAAGGATAGAGTCGTGCTGTCTGTTGGACTATCAGAATTCCATTTCACGGAAATTGGGGGAGGGGGGAATTTGGTGGCACATGTAGAAGTCGAGTCACTTTTTTATACGTCTACCCACTGGCCACAGGTTTCAGGTTATTGAATTGCATCAATCGCTTGACTGACACAACTACTCAAGTTGACATCTTTTCTCCAATCCTGCTCGCGCGATCTCCTCCCAGTCAAATCCTAGAGCATTTGTAAGATGCCAGAAACAATCCATCCTTTTCCGATTATCTAAATTTGGCGGCAACTCTTACGAACAGAACCACCACATCTTTTGAACTCGGATTTATGCGTGGATCAATGACCGACGTGTGTTTGCATGAGTACAATGGCTCACTAGCAGAGGCTAGAGGGGTAGCTTAGTCGTCCAATGACCTTGAATTTAGAAGGGTCGTGAAAGTAGTCTGTGTTAAACAGCCAATCAGAAATAAGGAGCAAGCACGAGGAGTGCAAATGTCCCAAACGCTTTTCTGAGTCTCTATTTCCTTGCATTGGGAAAATAATAATAGCCCGGTATCTGGATGTCCCCACTTTACCGTCATTTCAAAATAATCAGAAAAACAATGAGTGGGCTTATACATAGAGAACTTTTACATAAGAATTATATAAAACTGTGACACCAAGCTCTATCTATCTGATTCAGAAAAAGTTCCGTCTCCGCTCCTCGCGATCCAGTTGGCGTATCAGTTGAGGTGATGTCTGTGTTGCTACCCCAGGCGCCATTAGTCTGCCTCGTGTGCGCTGCTGCTTCTGTTGACGTTCGGGTCGTTTGGGCGTAGGAATGAAATCATCGTTGTCATCACCATTGTCGCTACTTTCGTCGCTTGGCTCAAAGACACGGTTCATCGCGCGTCTAGTGCGAGTGCTGCGACGGGCCGGTGGGCGGAGGCGAATGCCAATGGTTGGAGTGGTATTGGAAGGCGGTGTTAATAGGCTCTCTCCCCCCTTTTCAGCGTCAGCCTTTGAGCTAACAACAAATAGTAATGTCGGCTCATTCAAACTGATAATAGAGGTAATGCGCAGAATGATTAAGACTTACTTTGAAGGGCTGCACACTTCCTTGGCCTTCCTAGTCGGAGGCTGGTTGGCAGTTGGCCTTCTTCTACTTGACTTTGCCACGACACTTTCAGATCTGTCCGATACCTGCAGAAGGTTAAAGAATTGATGCACGAAAAAGGCTGCCGTTTTAATCTCATCATTCCATTTCCATTTAAGTGATTCTCGGGGACTTAAAACGTGAAGGGTAAACACTGATTGGCTTGTTAAAGGCGCTCTGGGACAGAAATCAACCTGCAGAAGGAAAACAAGTCAGTATTAACTAGGCTTCGGACTGTGCCAAGAAACACAATATAGTGCAATAAAAGAGGAAGGAAAGGTTCCATTAGAAAAAGGCATTTGTTCAAAGTGAATGTGCAGACATAAACTAACATAAACTATGTGGAGCTACTTATCGCCAAATAATGGGTGGAAATGAAGGAGCAAGTAGCGGAGTTACCTTTTTGGACTGCGTGTCGTGCGCCTCCCTGCTGTTTACCTCAACGAGGATATGTTTATGCCTGTTTGAGACCCCGGAAACGACGGTGACGTCGGTAGTGAGGTTCTTCGTCAACACCCTCAAGAGATCCCTGCACAGTTCGTAATTCGGAGTCTCTGCGTATTCCATTTCGCTCACAGCGCGGATCAGAGATATAAGAGCTGGAGGAAGGAGGAGAGATAGTTATGCTAGCAGTCTGATACGTTGAAAAGGAGGTACTCCTATCGACCTGGATCCAAAACCGTAGCGAATAAACAACTGGGAGAGAATGTGGCTCTAAAAATGTCAAAGGCAAATGCAAATATCACGACGTGAGTGAAGAGTAGTAAACTATCTACACCTCGGTAGGTAAACAAGCGATAGATCAGGAGAGGGAACGAACCCGGTTGATGGCTAAGACCGGCGGCATCGGGAAGGGCGGAGGCGTGGGCAGGGTCCATGGCCTCCATCTTCGACTGCACTACGCGGTCCCGCACTGCTGCCGAAACATTGGCGCGCACTGCAGTATCTGAGAGAAGAAAATGGATTAAAAGCAGAGAGTAGGAGTTAGAGTTTGAAATGACATTAAGCCCTCATTTCATTTCTGTTTCGCCCAGGAAGCGAGCTCGAGAGAGGAAAAGTGGAAGACTGCTGACTAACTGGTAAAGTGTTTGAGGAACAAATCTACCTAATCTAAAGTAAGCAATCCGACCTTGCAGCTTATAAGAACAGGAGACTGGAAACATAATGAGAGAATAAATTCGGAGTTGAAGCAAGTCAAAGTGCTGGATGACGCAAGAAGGCGAATGAAACCGGTGACTTACCACCAATGAAAGTATCCCAAGGTAGACCGGCACAGGAACCCTGCGAGGCGTTGGGACGAGCACGATATAACCAGTGGAAGAGGTTGAAAAGGAGGGTCTCTAGGTCACCTCGTCGCGATGGTGGCAGACCTATAGCACAGACAGTGGCTAATTATGGGTTGGGAAGGTAAGAGGAAGAATAGGACGTGGAAAGGGGGCGTGTGGGGTCCAATTCCAACCCACCAGCATGGGCATCACGCGAGCAAAACTCGAGGGTGCCGTTGTCGCGTAGTTTTGGCGAGGCCTTCTCCGGTCTGTGATCACCGCCATTGACACGATACTGCGACACCAGACCAAAGTCGGCCAAGTAGAACTGAAAAGGAAAATTTCTAAACTTGTGTTTACCTTTTTAGAAGCCAGAGTTAGACAGGATTCTCGAAAAATTCAGGACAAAAATTCAGTAACAACATATGCACTACACAATAAGGTCAGAGTGCGCTAAAAATATAGCACACGATGAGAAAAATGAAAATGAGGAAAGAAGGATTGATATTCATCGTATTTCATTAAAACCATTTGGACATTACACGTTTCAACAACCTTTAGCAACGCCTCGGAGAAGTGACAAACACGACTGCACCTATTGCAAAGTGAGTTCCTTAAACTCCAAGATAGGTGCACCTGCTCGTTGGTTCTCATCTTTTTATTCAATTATGTAAAACTTGACTACCTGTCTTGGCTCCCATATAAATCACTATGATCGCCTTTCGCCTATACGCTCACCTCGACTCACCATGTTTACTTCATTGCGGAGGAGATTAGAGGCCTTTATGTCAGCGTGAACGTAGTCTTTTGAGTGGATGTATTCCAAAGCATCAAGCTAAATGGAAAAAGAACCGGTAAAGCAACGTGATGAACAGAAGTCAGAATCAGAACAGCGCCAAAACGATCCAAATTTAGGCGACAGCAAGGCGACTACTACATTGAGTCTTCGCCATCTCACGGCCCCCAAATTACTGGCAACAGTTCCAGGCCCTTCCCTACATCAGTCTAACTGTTCTTAGCCTCAGAGAGATGTCGAGCGCCAGGTGACAAAAGATGACTGAACGAAGGGGTACATATACCGCGAAGAGGAAAACTAGTAGCCACTGAAAGTGTCCTCTATCTTAGGTAACTGCCCCAGCCTCCCGAGTTGCAGGAAAGCTGTTAACAAGTGAAGCGATGGTAGAGCTAAACTGTTCGCCGTCCCCGTATGAAGATATCAATCATGTCAACTCACAACACTTATCACTGGCTTGACAGGACCCGGATAAATAACACTGAAGTGAGAAAGAAATGTCAAGTTTCATCGTTATTATTTGATTCTGCTTTCAGGTCGGTGGCGCTACAACTATTTGTGAACTCGCGTAATGACCAGCACAGTCCTCCGTGTCTCAATGGAGATCCCACTAAATAGGACGAAACTCCACATCCAGTGAGGCCGTTAAGAGGGCTCAATGACGTGACCATGTTCCGTCCCAGCTGCAAAAAACCAGATCACTGGCCCGACTGGGTTGTGATGCCGAATGTGGCTTGATGGTTGACGCTGAAGATTATAAGAGGAGCGCCAGGAACAAAAGCTTAAGGGAGGAGAGGGTTTGTGTACTGCTTTGATCATAAGTTCAGTACTCAGCGTTAGTAACTGAGAGTACCAAAGGGATTCCCCATTTTATCTTCAACACACGACGCGATATACGAGCGATTGCGGTGGCACCAAATTCTTCTATGCGTTGACAATATATGTTACGCTCGTGAAATGATCTTCTTGCGTCCTCAGGGCACGACATGGGTATGGCCAAAGATCAGAAACAGGAGACATTCACCGGCCATCACTGTGCACATTTTAGGTGGTGATCAATTTTATCAAGACCACATCTTTACACCTGAAAGCCTTCGTGTGTTGATAATCAAAGTGAACAGTGAACCTACTAACTTTTGACTCGTCAACAGTGAAGAGGGTTTGAATTTCATTGTTAGTGTGTAAATACGCAAGTACCCATTGATACGTAAGCAAGAAACAGGGTCACTTTTGCAATGAAACGCACAAAAGTAATTTAGGAAAGCAAAGCAACACAAGCAGCTAAACTTAGCACCGAGTTGCTACACAACCGTCTACTCATTTTGACAACAGTAAGGGAAGTTGTTCGAATGAACCCTAAATCAAAGAGCCAAATCGTCTTGCTTCTATGGATAGATCAAAGGGCAAATACTTAACCAAGCGTAGACTAAAGGCAGTTAATATTTCTATAAACTGCAACACGAAAGCTACGCCTTTACAAACCTACTGCCTGAATAGCAATTGGAGGAATGTCAGGTGGAGTGAACTCGCGCCGTGTGAGGCAATCTTCAAGGGAGTCGCGAAAGCGGTCCATCACGAGAAAGCGACAAGTCTGGTGGCTTGGTGACACGAAGAGACCCTTAGAAATGAAACGTGGAACACCAAGGAACGTGAGGCCATGCTCTGCTTTCCATTCGTCCACTAGAGAAGAGCAAAAGTAGAGTGAGATTTCGAACACAATCCCGACGATCAACTTACGCAGCTCCTGCTTGCATACACGGGTGTAGAAGTGGGTCTCAGTAAACAATGGTCCATTTTCCTGTGGCTCCTATGAGGAACGCAGAGTAAGACAAGAGATTAGACTCACAATTTTGAGAACATAACTCTTTGCCTTGGGATTCCTTTTGGAAGAAGCTACATGAAGGAAAAAGGTGGAAACAACAACAACATAATGATAGGATGTCATGTTGTCGCATGTTAATTAAAAGCCAGTGCCTGGATCTAATCATAGATAAACATGCTCCAGTGAAATATAATCGCCAAGTCTAACTTCACCAAAAGCCGATAGAATTAATCAAGAACTACGAATAACTATCAAATATGCAACCATACCGACGTATAGGGATCCAAAGCCACCTTGTGCAATCGCTTCACCGATAATCCACGTGTTAGAATGTTGATCTGAGATCTCAAACCCCTCCTTTATTTCTTTAGCGATTTTGTATGCCCGCTTAGGAGCCACTTTCGGCATAATAACTGAAGCGTGGATAACACGTAAGGTGCTAATTAGCCCGAATGAGGCAAGCAAAGTAAATTAAAGCAATTCACATAGGAAATAATTTGTAACTCCAATGAAGAAGAAAAATTGTAGCCCGAAAGTAACACCATGATAGAAAAAGTGATGAAATTACGGAAATGAACAAGACAAATCAAAATTGAGCAAAAACGGCTGTTTTGGCTTGACCTACCCTAAGAGAGTAGTCCAAAAGACCCTATATGAACTAGTGAGATAGTAAAGTACCACCAAAACAGTTGTAGACGAAAAAATTGCAAAGGAAATTAAATCAGCCAATCAAATGATGAGCAACGACCTAGACTTATGACCTCCATACAAATTAATGAAACCATTCAAATATTCACCGTTTTGCAATCCTAAAATAAAGTATCAGATTAAAAGGTTTTTGTTGCGCTGTTATAGTTGCAAGGCAACACTGATGTAGTTTCGTATAGCTCACTGTGATAATGGGAGTGATTATTTGAAACAAATGAAGAATTTTTGCAGAATAATTACTTAAGATAACATTAGCACTGTAGCGTCCCAAAACTTCTTAGCCAGTATAATAAGATTCATGACTTTACTTATGTGACTACCTTACGTCTGGCGGTCTCTTTAGGATTTGCCTGTTCCTTTACACGTGGGCTGGCCTTTGGGCCATGCTCAGGTCCCATTTGCCCTGTCGTCTTCGGAATACATGTATTCATTTGCACTTATGCCTTCTTCCACCTTATGGGAAGCCTCGGAACGCTACACTGAGGGCAGCGGAAAGCAAACTCGGCATTTTTTAAATAACTTTTAGGTATAAAGTGCTTTTGAATACCTTCTGCAGTCGCTTGCTAAAGGCGCCATAGTGTCCGGAAAAATCTAGTGGCCAACGGACAACGCTGTCTTAGTGACATCCTACTTTTGTGTAGCTAAGCATTGCCGATTAATCTACTGATTTCCTGAAAAGAGCAGTGCGAACAAACCGACGAGCAATGGCTCGATCGGATGATGCACTGGTTCAGTACCTACAAATCGCACAGAATCCGGAGATCTGAGTCCCCTTAGCCGGGATCACCAAACCTCTCTTTTCACAACTAGAAGGATATAATCCAACCAACAGAAAAGACTGCAAAGGAATTCTACTCTTTAGTGAAGTATCCAAGATTAATAACCGCATTTTGGTGTTGTGCACTGACAATCATGAGCTATACATGCGTAAAAGGAAGTCTGAATCTATCTATCGAAGTGCAGTAGATGAAGATAGAGGCGAAATGGGGACGTGAATTGAAGGAGACCCAGTTACCTTGGTGGCCGG